TGAGACATTCATTTTTAGATTGTGTTTCAGTTAACCATAGTTTTAAACGAAATGAATAAAATTATTTAGGTTTTATTTATGCAAAGAAAAAGACAAATACGTAGTAACTAACCACCTGTATTTCTTTTATTTTTCGAATATATAACCACACTAAATACAAATAATTATCAGAAATTCTATCTATGTCAATGGCATGTTTCCAAGCATCAATGATTCATTCGTATTTCTTTTTTACTATTAAACTCGACTATTTTGTATACGTCTTTCATTAAGAGAATACTTGAATATACGAGATTTTTGCGTATAGTGAAAAAATACAATTAAAGTTTTGATTTTAGCAGAGATGAAGTCAATATGTGATGTGAATTTGAACAATATGCATGTCTTTGTTCGATTGTAGACATCGACTACAAAGCGAAATCCTGGAAAAGAAGAGATACAATAAAGGGTATGAAAAGATAGATTTATAGAATTCAAATAATTTTGTAAATATATTTATTGAATGAAATTCTTCAATCAATTAAATATTTCAATATTTATAAAATTAAACTTCATAACTACTTGTTTCCCAATAATAAAAACCTTTTATCATAATCTCTGTAAGTTGACAATATACGATACAATAGAAATGCTATTGTAAACGAGAATATTTTATCAAAATCTTTATTAATTTATCAATTTTTTATGAAAAAAGAACGTGTTCATTATGAAACTGTATCAATTAAGACAAGTTTTTATAGTTTTTGAGAATCTTTTGATTTGCATTTCGTGTATCTGTAATCAATGAAACATCTAGACTGAGATACTAATTAAGAATGTACAGTTTTAGTTTACTGACCACCAACATCATTGACTTAGGAAGGAAGTCCTCCAATTTATCAGTTGGACAACTTCCCTTGTTAGTGTAGTTAGTGCACACTGATACACTGGCACCAGTCTTCAGTGAATCTTCGAAATACACCACTACGGAAAGGACATATTTTAATAGAGTTGGTGTCTCAATATTGCAACGAACATGGATATCAATGACTCACTGTTCAGTATTTATACCAATATTGTACACGTATATGCGATGTGGATCAATAACTGTTTAGTAACATTATTCTTTTTTTGTAATAAAAATATCAAGAATTTACATCATGACATGATTTTCTTTGAATATGTTCATATATTATTTTGTCTGTACTATTATAAATTTGGTTTATGAATAAAATTTAATTAATAAATAATGTCTTAAACTTATAAATCATTATTAAGTACATAAAATCCACGTTGACCTGATTGTTTTAATAATTGATCTTGTTTTTTTTGTTCAGAAAAAGACATATCATATTTTTGACTATCTAATGAATCTGTTGTACTAAATATACTTGAAACAATACTTGATCGTTGATTATAATTATCGTTATTTTTCCATTTATGATATTTCAAATATACAGTTAAACATAAACATAATATTGATATTGAAAATACTATTAAACCACCAATAAAAAGAAATAGATTTGTTTTAGTTACACGAGTTTTTATTGATGTATGTATTATAGTAGAAGATTTAATAGTAATCATTTCGGTAGAAAATTTTTTTTTATTATTCGATTGAATTATTACACAATTATTTGAACTAATTGGAGACATTTTATATCGACTGACATAATAAGTATTTTTAGTATTATTATCACAATATAATTGTATTTCAATACCATTTAAAGATATTTTAAAAAGATCTGTTTCTAAATCTAATAGAATTTGTTTTCTATAATTAGATAAAATAAAAAATAAATAAGAATAATCTATTCCATTCGGTTTTATGAATGATTGTATATAAGTTAAATTTAATTCATTAAAATTATCATGAGTTATTTTAATATATAATGTATTATAAATTTTTGAATTAATTGATATTTTAAATAAATTATTTACAATATAAGAATGATTAGAAAAAAATCTTTCAAATAATGTATTATTATAAAATACAAATTCAACACAGTGAAAATCTCTATTACATTTATCATGCCATATTTTATTTATTATTTTTAAATGTCGAATTGTCATAAGACATCGTAAACAGTCTTGATAAGTTAATTGACTAATATTTACAGCTCTATCAACATTACAATAGTTATTAAAATTGAATTTTTGATTTGGAAAAAGGATCCAGTGACTATTTACTATCGAGAAGTATAATATTAAAATAGAAAAAAAATTCATTTAAATAATTTTTTATTCATAATATCATAAGAAATCATAAATATTTCTTTATTTCAAATATTACAAACAAAAATTTAAAAAAACACACGTATTGACTACACATTGATGAGGCGCTTAAAATCTTGATAAATTAGAATAATAGTTTTCATCATACCTATTAGTTTATAGATAATGAAACATAGATATTATTATTCAACGAAATTGAATTAGAAAATCTTTTGAATTAAGATAAGAAGTCATTGAATGAAATTGTCGAATTCCATATATATCAGAACCTACTTAATTATACTTATCTCTTGAATACAAGAGCATTGATATTGCAATAAAAATAATTAAATCATAGAATTTCATTTTTGATCAAAATTAATAAATGAATAGATACTTCTTGCATAGTAACGCATTCGACTCTTACAATGGAAGAATGTGTATTGTAACTCAAAAACATTGCACACATTCGTGTCAGAGGAAAGATCTCACTGACAAACTAATAAATTTAAAATATGAGTTGTTTGTGACGAATACGGATTGAGATATTCGAATTTTTGAGATATTTACAATGTATGTAATGTAGAGCTCGACAGGTCGGTCCTGTTCCCTAGATGAACGAGTTCCTGTTCGAATCGATCCAAGCAATGGACCATACTTTAAAAGTAACAGCCAATTATGACTTGGTTATTATAAGATCATTGTGAAGATTGCCTGAGAAATATGTAGGGTATGTTAATAGCAAAATTTGGAGCGACAATCAGACTTAAACTAAACAATTTCTTTCAATTTAGAATTATAGTTTAGGTCTAAAAATGCTGAACCCGACGGACTCGAACATAATGTGCCAATAATCTCTTTTTGATATGGTTAGATAGAGCTCGCTAATTTGCATAAGAGCAAATACACTACTGGCCATAAGTACCTGGATGTGTAATACTCCCCCACGGCTTTGATAATTTTCCATAAAATTTTTACTAGAGATAGAGCTTAAAAAACTATGATCACCAGCACCAACCCGAGCTCTATCAATTGAAATAGGATGAAGTTATGATTCAAACACTAGTTTCACCTTTGTTTACCTGTAAACCTATATTGACAGTTGCTATGAAAAACAATCGAGATGCTAGAAGTCTTGTATAATCTCTAAGTTATTTCTTAGCTTGTTAATGTTAATTGATTTCGCGGTACAGGAACACGTAATGAACATTTATTGTTCACAATTCTATGCGATTCTATTTCAGCATCTTGATTATTTTTCATAAAAACTGTCAACATAGGTTTACAGGTAAACAAATGTGAAACGTTAGTGTTTGAATCATAACTTCATACTATCTCAGTCAATAGAGCCTGGATCAATGCTGATGATCACAGTTTTTTAAGCTCTATCTCTGGTAAAAATTTCATAGGAAATTGTCAAACCCGTGGGGGGGAGTATCACACATCTAGGGATCTATGGCCAGTAGTGTATGTTTTAAATATAGAAAAAGAAATTTTAAGAAAGTCACAATTTCTATTTTATTTACCTCCTATATTTGAAAATAATGGTAAAATGAACTTTTCTCTTGAAATCTTTGGTTTTCTTGTATGTGAAACATACTTTTTCTTATGTCACTCGAAGAGTTCTATCCAACTATGACAAAAAAAAAATGAAAAATGAATTCTGTTGAAATTTTGAATTGTTGGCACATAATATATACTTTAAATACCTTAAAATTCGGAAATCCCAAATCTATGTAGGTCATAAGCAGCTCATATTGTGAATTTGTTAACTTACCGATAAGACTTTTCTTGTGACACAAATACATTCAATGGCCTTGTGTTACAATACGCACACTTCCATTGTTAGTTAAAATTTAAAATTAACATACGTTTTTTAGATTTGAAGAACACTGCAATTATCTATTAAGCTTAGCTCAACTACAGATGCTGAAATCATCTTTTAAAAAAACACAACTGAAAAATTTCGAATATTACAAAAAGGACAGCATTATTAATCAAATGTATAAATATACATCAATATGTCTGTGTTAGAGATGTGAGGGACGAAGCTTTTTTAATCTCGATAAATCTAAATTGGCTTCGATTGAGAGAAAATTATTTCTGAATTTATTCATATTACATTTCTCGCCGGAATCAGGATCAACAATTTTTCATTGGGAGTGATATCTTTTATGATCGTGTAAGACTTGAGTAAAATGTCATATTCTAACAACTCGTGTGTGCTAGAAGTTTATGCAAAAATTATTGACTAACGATCATTTCAATATTCACTGTTACAATTTTGATAGTAAAATTAATCCTTTTTTTCTTTTCGTAAACAATAGAGTTGTCGAATACATAAACGTGCAGAATAGACGAAATATTAGTGGATTTAAAAGAGTAATGCATTTCTAAGAGGGAGGACATTAGAAGTCAAGTGAGTTTTGCAAGATGTCTCGAGAGCATTAACACTATTAGAAAATGATATCGCATTTTTCGTCAGTATATGTATTACTAAGCACGAAATCAGAATCAAAAATTTTTTTCTCACCAAGACCGGGACCAAAAATGCTGATTCAGCCCCTTCAATAGTCACCTCTCTTGAATTATGTTCTGATTAATATGATTTATAAGGCAAGCCGCTTAAAACTATAGAATAGTTAACTATGATCTTCAGTTCCGATTGGAACAATTCTTTTCTCACAGCTTTGGTACCGGTTTCGGCAACTTCTCTTTTCCGTAGTCCTGACAAACTTTCAAATTTTGGTCCCGCACATCTCTAGTCTGTATACTTACATATATTAATATTTTTTATGAAATAATAGCTGTGCTTTAGGATAAAAAGAAGATAAAGCAATAAGCAAATCGATTTTTTTCTTATTATAGTTTTTAAAAACATATGTTTTTAAAGAACTAATAATTTTCTAGAAAGAATTTTTTCATTATGTGTCAATAAGTAAAGAAATCAAGACAATATCAATAGCATATAATAGACTTATAGTGCGATGGCCGTCAAAAAACAAAAAAAAAGAAAGGATATTGAGAATGAGAATAAGCAATATTATTTTATCTAAAAAAATAATTTATTATTCGGATCTGTTATCTAGCAAGAGAATAAGGTAAAGAGAATGGCACACGCTGTTTGTTCTATGGAAGTGTGTGTATCTATAATACATAGAGATATTTTATAATGTCAAACAGAAGAATATGACATGAACATATTCCTAACAAGAAAATAAAAACGTAAGAACAATAATCTAATTGTCGTTTTTATTTTTTTGTTATGTTCATGCCTATAGTTCAATAGAAATATTATCCTATGAAAAGAAGAATCATCAAAAGAAGGAAGAAGATATTGACAAGGATGACTTAGAAGAAGAGAAAAAAAAGACAATTGGATTGTGGGATAAAACTGATAAGATCACACGTAAATAAAAGAGAACATATACCTGTGTAAATGTGTATGTGCCAGAGAAAAAGAAGGAAGAAAGTGTAAGATTATATTTCATATAATTATTTTACCTTCATAAGATAATTAGTTCAATGAAGCAGCATTAACTGAAACAGATATAAGTTTTATTTGCATGAGAAAGAGAAAAGAATATTTAATAAAAAAACAAACAAAAAAAAAAAAGAAAAGACAAGAAAGGAGACAGTCAGTCACACTTGCCAATTTAAAGATAAGAAACAAAAAAAAAATGTGCAAGAAGACAAAAAAGAAAAAAAAATCAAAGGGAGTATTACAAATGATGAAGAAAATGAAACAAAGATACTGTATAGACTCAGCAGATCATTATTTTCCAGCTTATTTGAATTGAATAAAAAAACAAAACAAAACAAAACAAAACGAAGCAAAGAATCAAGAACAAAAGACAATAAATCAAGGCAGTAGCACTTTTTGATTGTCATTTGCTCTGCCAATATGAAAAAGAAAAAAGTTCACAGGGAATGCCTAAAAACAGAAGAGAAAGCGGACGGACTGTCTTAAAGAGAAAAAAGAAAGAAGCAGGAGCTCAATGAGAGATAATAGTGTTCAAAAGAGCACCTTATTATATGCATATAAAACACAAGAAAATGTAAGAAGAATAGAATAGTGTATTATATTTTCTATATCACAAGCGCAGAAAGTCAGCAGAGTACATGGTGGGTGTACTGTTGTTGTTGTAAAAATAAAGAGCAGAAGGTGAAGATAGAGTTGCAGTTTTCCCAGTAGCAACACTAGTACCACCACCATTTCCACATACCTCATCAGATGATGATGTTGGACCTGAAAGAAATATATATGGACTTGTAGTTGGTCCATGTTGATGAGTATGTTGTTGTAATGTTGATAATGATAATGGAGATTGTGTTGTATTTGTTGTTTGTAATAATGTTGTAGTAGGATTTGTTCCACTTGGAATAGAACAAGCTATTGCTGTTGTATATTGTTGAGCTAATTGATTTGCATTTAACACAGTTGCTGTTGATGCTAAATTTATTTTATAATATAAATGGTTGAAAAAAGAAAAGCATATCTTTATATGATTCAATATAAAACTAGTTTTATAGTAAACAAGATTGTCTATAAAATATTCTTGAACCTCTTCAAAAAAATCATATTTCATAATGAAAGCAGTGAATAGGAGATATCTTAGCTCATACTTGTCTTTCATCAGGATAAACAGAAGAGTCTCTTACAATAGAAGAAGATAACAGATCAATTCAATTCTACTATGCTAGACTTCAATAGTTATTAACAATCGTATTTATACTAGAAGTGTTAATGGACTGGGAGGAGTCGAATAAAGCCGGTCTCTGAGTTATTGGCCATTGATCTAGTCCAGTCCCTTTTTAACACATGAAGGAGTAAACATAATTTGAATACCGGTAGTTGACGTATAAACAAATGTTTCGTAACATATTTAAAATGTTTTAGCCAACGGAAGAATTACATGGAATTTTCAAAAACAAAAAAAAATAGCAGAAATACGCAAGACCTTTTGAGAATTTTATATTTTATCCAAGATTTGGCCCACTGGAATGTCGAACCAGCCCGATCTAACTCATTGAGATCTATGATTCATACAATACTTTAAACATTTCATTACAGGAACAATTTGTATTTACATTCGAACGACTATCAAACATTTCTATATTCTTCAAATAATTACAATATAAACTAATTAATTCATATCTAATATTTTTCATTCGATTATATCGATTAAATATGTAATGAACAACTAAGTACATACGTGGAAAATGAATAGCACCATTGTTTATCGCTGAAAGTGTTGTCAATGGAGCTCCAGTAAATGCCATTAATGGTGAACCATAAACATTTGGAATACCTTTAAAAAAAAAGACGAAAGTAATAATTATCTTAATTGAAAAGAAAAAAAAAATATTTCTATACCTGTTAAATATCTTGCACCAATTGAAATAGGTTCATTAGCATTTTCACTTGATGGTAATGTTGGATTTGTATAATCTCGACTTTTATCATTATTATATTTGACATTTAATGCATGTAATTTAGAAAAATCAATTTGTAATGTACAACAACCATTATAAATATTTTGACCATTTAAATTCTTTAGAAAAAAAAAAAAAAAAACTTTTTTTCTTTAAAATTTAATTTAATTTTTTTACCAATTTTGCAGATTGTGCAGTTATTGCATCTTTCATTTGTATTAATCCTTGAAATTTATCTAAAATCAATCGTTAATCAATAACATAAATAAAAATTTTAGTTTTATTTTTTTTTTACCATTTTTTGTAAAAGTAATGATTTTTAAAACAACACCAAATTTACCAAAGATCTTTAAAAGCAAAAATTTCGTAAAAAAAAAAGAAAATTTCTCTATCTTACTTGATGAAATATATCAACATTAACTGCATAAATCATATTACTAACAATAACACGTAATACACAATTTTGTCCACCTGTTCGTCCAATTTCTTGTAATGTTGTTGCTGATTGTAATGCAGCTTGTGCTTGTTGATTATTTGCATTATTTGGATCAGTTTTTAATTCTTGATGATTTGAAAATTGTACAAATATTTGTCGACCATTTAATAATATAGGTATTGAAGAAAAATAATCAGTCATTGCTTGTGCATGTTCAATACTGTCAAATTCAAGAAATGCCTAAATAGGAAATTTTTTTTTTTTCTTTAATTAACATCAAAAACAAAATCTTTTTATATTAACTTGATTTTTTTTTCGTAAATTAAGTACATTTGTAATTTTACCAAATGAAAGACCAAATTGAACGATTTCTAATTCACTTGCATCAATATTTCTTAAATGAACTAATAAGTAAAAAGAAAAACAAATGATACAATTTTTAAAAGATTATATTTTTGTTTTGTTTTGTTTTTACTTACCAACACGTGATGGTGGACTTTTTTCAATTCGTGCCTAAACAAAACAAACAATAACAAGAATAGTGTTGTTGTTTTTTTAATTCTAAGAAAACTCATGGTTGATTTTATGTTTGTGCTACTTGAACTTGAACTTGAACTTTTCAATATTCAGAAAGTATAAAGATTGACAATGATCGTGTCAAAAAAAGTTGAAATTTAAGAACGAAATTTTATTTTTTTAGATTAAATATTAGTTGGTTTTTAGCTGAAATGATCATCTAATTGATCTTTTGTTTTTTGCATTTCTATTACGACAAGTCAATGGTATTCTATGAAAGATAGTTACGAAATTAATCTCTTTTCGAATGGTAAAAATTCGAAATCAAATATAATTATATATAGGATTTGAAATGTTTCATCCATATTCAATTAAACATACTTTTTTGGCTTCATTGCTATCACCATTTTGATGTCCATTATTAAGATTATATGAATTATTATTATTATTCATTTCTTCTTCGTTAGAGGTGACAGCAGATATTTTCGTTGGTGGTGATGTTGAAAGATCATTCGAAAGTAGACGCTAAGAGAGAAGATAAAATGTAAAAAAAGTTTTGTTTTGTTCACATGAAACCGATTAGATTTATATGTACCTTCATAGATCGCTAAAATATTAAAAAAAAAGAAAAGAAAAAACAACATTATAAAGAAAAAAAATAAAAATAAAAGAAATTTAGACGATATTTATCGACTTCTTCTCAATTATTTCTTGAATATACATACTCAAAATCATCAAAAATTCGATTACTATTCTTTCTTCTTCTTTCTTTTATTGAGCTTTTTCTCGTCTATGATGATGATTATTATTATAAGAACGACGACCTGTTCATCGATTCCTCGAATAAATGTTAGGTTGCGGTCATTATTTGATAGGAACGAAAAAAAAAGAGAAATAAAATTTGATTGTTCTTGGATTAAGGGACAATGTCCATTCGTTTGTTATAAGATTATTTTCTTTCTTTCATTACTTATATGCGTTTCGGCTTCCGTTCTATTTTAAACAGAATAAATATGAGACAGAGAGAGAGAGAGAGAGAGAGAGAGAAAGAGAGAATTGGGTTGCTGCTAGGCGCGAAAACTGTCAAATGCATCTCTTTTTTTCTTCTCAACGACGACTGACAACAAATGAAATACAAATACAAATGCGAACAATGATTCGTATATGATGACTTGCCAGTGAAACGAGATGATCATGAGGTCGTTGTGTAGTATAGGCTAAATATTTTGTTGTTGAAGTTGAATTCAATGGTGTTGATGATAAATCAATAGGTTGATAATAAATCGTATTTTGTCCATTATGAGGATAAATAGTAGTTCCATCAAGAGTATGTTTAGCTACTCGAATAAGTGTCGCTGATTGCGACATGATGAAGTATAAATTGATTTGTCCAAAAGAAAAAAAAACCGAGAGAGAGAAAAAAAAACTCAAAAATTTGTTCGTCTGGTCGTTGTCAGAGCCAGAAAATTGTTTATGTCTCTCACATTCTCTCTATTTTTTCTTTTTACTCACATATTTATATACTTTTGATATTATTGATGGCAATAGCAATGAGAAAAAAGAGAAGTAAGAACACGTACACACCTGCTTTTCTATTTCTCTCTCTGTCTCTTATTTTACTCATTTTCAGATTTATAAATACAAATCTCTCATTCTCTTCATCACATTCTGTCGTATTTTATGATTGTGTAAAAAAAAAAATATGTTCTTGACTATTTTTTCTTCATTTTCTTTCTTTCATCGAGATTAAGAACAGGACAGAACGAAACTTATGATCATAAAATAGCATGCCGGCAGCAGTAACAGCAATAAAAACAAAAAGACATGTAAAATTTGAGTGTGTATATAATACTTATTATCCTTTTGACTATATGTCTAAGTTTTAATAATCAATTAATGATGGACAACAATAATATACCTTCATTTATTCTATCCATAAATGAGAACGGATTGAACTATGAGTATGTAAATACTTTCTCTGATGTGAATACGATACTTTACAATCGGAATGATAGATGTGATATATATATACGTTTAAATAAAAGGTCGTATATACTTTCGATCATTTATACTGATCATGATTGGACGTTTACAATCGATTTAATACATGTTTGATACAAATATTCAATCGATACTTAGAAATTAGATCGTATTTCTTTATTTATTCACACATTCTAGAACTTTTCTTGTTAACACAAATACAAAAATTAAAATAGTAATAAGAAAAACAAAAAAAAAAGACGCGTAGCCCTTACAATCCTATCATAACAATAGTATTTCATTTACCACTCACCGTTGAATAGAAGTGTTGTATAGATATACTTTTTTTTTCTTTTTGGTAACTTCTACTACTATATTTCACTACTTTTCTTTTTGTTATATAGAATTAAGATAAAGAACGATGAATAAATGGAAAAAAAAATGTGTGACAAAAAAAAAAGAGTGTGAAATAGAGAGAAAAAGAAAGAAAATAATGAAGAAAAAAAAAATATTTAAAAAAATCTTTTCTATGTTAACGCTTTTTCCTCATTGAAGTAGTAAAGAAAACATGGAAATGCCATGAGCTATATGTAATGACAACGAGAGCTTGTATATGTCTTTTCTTGACGATGAAAAGAAAAGAATCAAAGAGCAAAATTTGATGATGATGATGATGTTGATAATGATGTAAAGAAGCAAAAAAAAAAAGGATGAAAAAGAAAAGAAAAGAGGAAATAATTATTATCTAGAGCTATAAATATAGGAGTCTGTCTACTATTCAGTTTCCGTGATTTATGTTGATCACTATTGTTATTTTCAAGTGAAGAGTTTTCATTTCTATCTCAAAAAAAAAACACACCCATTCACTATTAAGATAACATCAAACGTCTATATTGATACTTGCAGAATAAATAACATAAATCTTACTCATATTAAGACAAGACAAGTCAAATCAGTACAATATGTTCAAGGTAAAGACTATTTGATTTAAGACAATTGGATAAAGATATTTTTGATTTATATCTCTTTTTCTTTTTCTTTTTTTTTTTTATTAACAAATAAACACACTTGACTCAATAGCTAATTTGCATAATCGACCTGATTATTATCAAGTATCTTCTTGAAGAATATTTGTATGCTCACGTCGATAAGGCATATTGAATAGTTTCTTATTTTAAATCAAGATTTCTTTACTTACGATCAATTTCAATAAAAGAAATGAAAGGATTCTCTTGCTTACTCTTCTCTCTGTCTCTTTTCTTTGTCACTATTGACTCATGTTTTCATTTAATCAAAGTGACATAGACGACGATGCGGAAAACCAGAACATAAAAGATAAAAAAAAATAGAATTCAAATGAAGTCAATTTGATTTACTTAACCAAAAAAAAAAGGCTACAAGGGTCAGTGAAGAACATGTAAGAAAAAAAGTAAAATAAAAAAAAAAAAAAAGAAGAAGAGGACGAATGTTTTTTTTTGCTTTCTATCACAATACCGTCGGTCCGTATTGCAGCTTTTCTCATTCCGTTGCTATTTCTCTTTCTGCTATTACTCGTGGATCCAATTTCAACAGAAAGAAAGAAAATGTATATTATACCTTATTCAAAATGTAAGACATACCTTTATATAAAATAAATTACCATTACAGTCTATGGCAGTTGAATGCATCATTGTATTCTACATTAAAAGAAAGATACTACCCAAACAGACAATTATTTTGTAAAAGCTGTAATATATATATATCTATGTTCTTTTTTTTTCGATAGTACTTTTATTTGAAAGAGAAGGAATAAGAGGACTAAAAAAAAATTGAGTATGAGTAAGAGAGAGAGAGAGAGAGAGAGAGAGAGAAAAAGGAGACATATTTGACTTACACAAATACAGAACAGCTAGGAATAAGAGAATGAATAGGATATATATCAAATATGCGAGACAATAAATCGAAGAGAATTTTGTGTGCAGACGTTGTTAGTGGTAGTGATGACGAAGACAAAAGGCGAGTAAATAGACAATGTATATATGAACTACACTACTCATATTTCATTTAATATAAAAATATATCACGTTTATATTTGGTACCGATCTGTTTTGTTTTTTATATATATACTTTGAATGAAAAAACAATTACATAGAAAAAAAACACAATAGAAAATCTTTTAGTTTTTTTTTTGCTTTTTAAAGTAAATGTAAATAGTTCATGTGAAATATAAGATTAATTTTATTTTATTTATCTATTTGATATTTAACCGTGAGAATATTCACTTATGGTGATATGTTATAAATTTTATTCGTTGTCGTTCTTTTTTTTTTTTTATTTCAAAAAAAAAAATATATAGAAATGTGTATATTCTAAATCATTGAAATTGAGAAGGTTTAAAATGACCTAAATCTCTACGTAATTGTTCATTTTCATATTGTGCATGTTGAATATAAAATGTATTAATACCATTTCGTTTTGGTTTATCTAAATCTGTAAAATGTGAAACCATTTTTCGATGTGCCCATGATTTATCAGGATATTTTGGATAACTCTATTAAAATAAATAAAACAATATGAATAGGTTTTTTTTTCTGTTTTATTTATAAAATTGATTAATTTACTTTATCGGCATATTCCGAATGAGCAACAGTTTTCATTTCATATGGAAATGGTGGTGGAAAATCAGCCTGATATGTTGATGTTAAGTTTGCTTGTTCATGTTCAGCAGGATTTCGTATTGGTAATATATGATATTTTGATTGTGGATCTGCTTGATTAAGTAGTCTAGAAAAAGAGGAAAAAAATGAAAAAAGAAATTTTTATTTGATAATAAATAAATTTCTTATTACAAACCCATCTAAAGCTGCATTTGCGACATTTATATTTGAACGATCTATCATTTTTCGTGGACATTCATGTTCTACATACCAAGGTCGTTCACGAAATGGTTGTTCTTGTTGATCTTTAGCTGTTGAATTCGGTAAAGTTGTCTATATGATTTAAAGTAATTTTCAAACAAAAAAAAAAAATAATTATGTATTGTTTATATACTTGTTCATCGGCAGCGATATGTTTATATGTTGAAATATGCATATTTCGAACCGGAATTATATTTAAATCATTATCTTTTGGTTCTGCTTCACGCTTTTGATGCCTGAAAAACAAAATTTAATAAATTATTAACTAAGAACTATTTAAATCTAACCAAATATTCGTTAATACAGCTCGACTGTATTCCATAGGCATAGTTGATTTAAGCCTTACAGAACCTGGTGTTTCACGACACAGTGTATTGAACATCTTCGTTGCTTTAATAATTCGTATAGAATGAAAATGATTTCAACTAATCTCATTGATATTCTTCCAATCTATCTCGTTCCTAGGTGACGACACTCTATAGAAGATGTCGCTAAACAGAACAAAATAAATCAAAAAATAAATACAAAATTTTATTTTTATTCGAACATAAAACATTTTTCTATTGAATTTATCATTTTTTTTTCTTATCAAAATGTAACTTACAATATCCATTTCATAGAAAGAAAATAAATAAACAAATATATATATATATATATATATATGATAGATCAATAAATCAAATCGATGTCATAATCTAAAAAGATGACAACAACAGAAAGTATTGAAAAAGAGTAAATAGTTTTTTTTGTTTTTCCTCATTTTAATTTTCATTTTAATCAATTCATTTTTTGTTGTTATAGTTCTAGTGAAAAATTATATGATGTAATTACTCAAAAACTCGGTAAATTTCTATTTTGTATGAATCATATTTAATTGAATATCTTTTATTTTTTTTTTCAAGAATCTTTATCAAAAATAAGATTTGCTGCTTATCGTGTTGCATGTAAACTTCGTGCATTACAAAAATATTTAAAATGTAAGTAAAAAGAATTGAATTAAATTGATTTTTTCGTTTTATTTTTTTTTGATTTTAGTAACTTATGTTGATTATAATATTCTTGTACGAGCATTCAATACTCAACAATTACAATTTGGTGTTGAAATAAGATTAATATCATTAGATAATGCACGAAAAGTTTTAATAGCTATTTATCAATTGATATCATCATATCATTTTAGTGAAACAACTATAGAAGAAACAGTTGAAACATTATTAAGATTTTTATGTGAAATTCTTAATATGTAAAATAGAATTCATTTCTTTTTTTTTTTGTAAGTTTTTTTCTTATTCTAATATTTATTTTAGAAAATTAGGTGAAGATTTTGATCTGAATTCATTTAAAATAATTCTTTTTGCATTATCAAGTGCAAGATTACCAGAAAAATATCGATGTATGAATAGAAATAAAATGATTTTTTAAAAAAAATATTTTTATAACAAAAAAATTTTTAAGGTTTTTTTCGACAAATAACTGCACCAAATATAATTG